CAAATTATGCTGTAAAGCAGCTCTAACAAGTCAAGTGTCATTATAGAGCTTCAAGTCAGTTCAGTATTGATTCAGTTCAGTTGCATAGCTGGAAAATTCATCAGTTGTACATGCATACTGTATATACAGTGTATATGTGCATATGCATGTATGAGCGAGTGCTGTGACAAACTCCTGCGCTCCACTGCACTCTGAACAAGCAAAAGACACACAAGAGCAGTTTTACATCTTTCACATCTGTGTGTAGTTTGGCGTGTATGTGGCTAATTATTTTATGTTTGCGTGTACAGTCCAACCCAATCTCACAACCAAACTTCCATCTTATGAAGTGACAATTTCATATTTTTGCTAAAAAATATGCATGTTTTTTTAAAGCAAGCATGAAAGTAGACCCTAACCATTGATCTATAATAGGGAGTTGCTCATGGCATCATAAAAGTGCTGCCATATTGGTATCCCCTAGTATTCTATTGAATTAATAGAAAGTCATATGATTTGAGAAAACATCAGCTAACGAATCAGCGTTTTTATATCTGAAGTATCCCTGTACATTCTTACAATGCAAACGTCCTAAGCACGCTAATTGTTATTTGTTTAATGTTGGGAATTTCTCCTGCTTATTAAAAAGTTACGTTCATTACAGTAGCAAACATCAGATGAACATGACAAGCATCCGACGGATGAGATCTTCAACATATGTATTACAAACGGCAAAGTTTCTCATTCTGAAATCTGAATGAAGTTTATTGCTTTGTATACGCATATACCTTAAATTGCCTTGTACAGTTATTCACCGTTTATGTAATTTAGTTTTTTTGTGTTTTTATTCGCTAACTGCAAATGCTTCAACAATGGTTTCAGCGTTCATTTTGAAGTAGGTGATGATTTTGAAATGTTGTTTAAATTAATAATGAATTCAACATATATACATAACATTTTACTCCTATGGAAACTGTAATGCTAGTAAAATTCCATAGAGTTTGGACGATCTCGAAGAGTGTGAAATAGATGGAGATGTTGCTCCATCATGGGAAAAAAATAAATAATATCATGCATCATAACTTATTCAGGGAAATCATGCTGACTATGTACAGAACGTACTTAAATGCTTCAAATCGGGTGATTTTAGGTCAGTGTTTTGGCTGTCAGCAATGAGCAATCCAGTCATTATATAGATCAGAGCCCCTAACCATTAGTTGGCCACAAAGTTTGCATGCAATTTGTTAGACTGCGCAATCAAATTAGTACCTTTAGTAAATCCCAGCCTAAATATACTAGAACCAGCCAGATGGAGTCTTTTGCGTGATCAGACCGAGAAAAAAAGAACTATTGTAAATGCATCTTGAAATTAGTTTTGAGACACTAGTACAGACATGTAAGCATTGCTATTTTACTCACAGCAACAGATGCACTGCATCCAGCACGTCCAATCAAACCAGTCAGTATTTAAACGTAAGGAGACTATTGAAAGGCCTCTTATCAAACAATCAAGCAATTGTCAGATGGCTTAAAGAGAAACGGTGCACAAACGTCCTCTTTGTGTGCAAGTGCCCACAGTCGTGTGTGAGAGCGTTCATTTAAGATGTTTTTGCTTTCCTCACCGCAGAAGAAAATTCACTTTGCTCTGACGGTTCCTCGACCATTTATCATTTATTGTGATGTCTGCCATCATATAACATAAATGAGAGCACTGATCCCTGTTGAGACAAGACATGTCATGCGATATAGTTGGCAGACATTGCTGCATTGTTATTGCTGTTAAACACACTCTATTTGAATTAAAAATGCTACTTCTGCAAAATGCACTGGGCACATCAGCCAAAATTGAGCCAGCTAATGGCTGGCATAATGTCAGTATACAATAATGTAGGCCATGCGATGATTAAAAGTGTTAGAACACTAGAGTTCACACTTTTTTTCCTTTCTTCTTTTGCATTTTGTGTGTGATGTCTCCTGATTATCTTCAGTCAGTGCCTTTAAAATGTAAATTCATTGCTCAGCCCCCAAGGATTCTCAGTATAGCAATATTTTACAACCCAGCTTCTCTCGGTTTCCTGTAATTATCACCAAATAGCCTAACATTTCAAAGATATCTCACAAAACCAAATTGCAGTCAAACTAACGGCTAATCAAGCATATGATATGCTTATTTTATGTCACAGACACCACAATAATCATATAATAAGAGTTTACAGTGCGAATATACACACTAGTGTCAATAACGAGAAACTACCAAATTAGACACACGTCCTCATTCTACAGATCTGTCGCTTTGGGATAAAGACACAAACACGCAGCTTTTGGCTTCTCCAGACGTTAACTGATGGACTGGAGTGGTGTGGATTACTTGTGGATTATTGTGATGTTTTTATCAGCTGTTTGGACTCTCATTCTGACGGCACCCATTCACTGCAGAGACAGTGATGCAATGCTACATTTCTCCAAATCTGTTGCTATGAAGAAACAAACCCTTCTATATCTTAGATTGAGTTCATTTTCAGCAAAACTTAAATTTTTGGGTGAACTATTCTTTTAATACCATGTACGCCTATAAAGTTGTTCATATGTAAATGATTAACGTTTTAGACAATATTGTGCATTTTAATGGTAGAATCATTTTTGTGGCCTGTCATGTGATAATGGGATCCGTCTCCCTCACTAGCTCTTATATAGAGCACCATGCATCTACATCAACACAGCTTCCTATCATTTGGGTCAAAGCATTTAATATTTAAGTGTGCCATTTTTACATTACACTCTATATTTAGCTTCACTTGCATGTAAGAGCAGGTCAGAGTAAGATGAATGGAATCAAGTTTTTTCAAGTTGTGCTGAATAATGTTATTATAAGAAGTCTTCTCATCCTCCTTACCTCACTGTTATATGTCTGAGCAAAAAAGCTTGCTTGTCTTTCCCAATTTCATCATTACACTTTTTTTTGGTGCAAATTTGTGTGCATTTCTCAGCTCTTCTTTGATAGTGATATCTCACACAGCAGTTGGTGTTCGTGGCATTAAGCTCGGAGTTTCCCACAGATACTCGCAGCACTTTTATTGATTTTCGACTCTTTGCACCCCAGAAATGCTAAGACATACTGATCACAAGCTAATTTTGAGTGCTGTTCTGTCTTGCATTGAAATGACTCGAGAAATGCTTGAGAAAATCCTTATATTTCATCAGAAATGATACCGTATGTCTCATGTTTTTAGATAAGTCTGTACTGTGTATGAATACACATACAATGGCAAAGTAATCCCATGTATTCATATTTATTTTATGTCAAATGTGTTTCTACCACACGTACATTTACGTATGTTTGCACAGATACTAAAGCATACAATATTTACATATCGACAACAAATAAACCTTACAGGCCTCCAATCCTTATTTAATCTATGAATATTTAATTCATGGAATTAATCGGTTGACTCTATTGTATTTAATATCAGTGATTTTGTGTTTAATGTTTAATGTTGTTCACACGTTTGCTTTGAAATTCTAACATTGTATTCTGTTCTGTGTGAAATGTTAAATTTACATGACTTTTCGAATTGACATAATTTAAAACAAAACTACACTTTAAAATCTTGACATAAATAAAATTTCTGTCATTTTGAATCATTCATTTTGAATGTCACACATCGTCTCATGTACTACTTTGATACTGCTTTTTTTTATCATTTCATAAATGATTGCTATTACACTTGCCAGTCTGTTACATTTTTCTGTATATTGTATATTTTTTATGAAATGGTTAGGGCTTGGTTTAGAGATTATCTACATAACGGTATACTGTAACTAAAATCATTGTCACTGTACATTTTTCTGCCAGTTTTAATCTTTATATAGTTATATATTACTATATAAGTGCTTTTGCTTAGGTTTGCTGATAGGGTTAACGGACTTACATGAATACTGTATATCTATAAAATGGTAAAAATCTCACTATTTAAAAGTGAAATATGACATAAATGTTTCATAAATATTTTACATTTCTATAGTTGCACTTAATACTTCTTGCATTTTAGATGCTGTCAGTACATCCATATTGTTTGCTTCAGCATCTTCCCAAATATGTTTTCAAAAAAATATTTTTTTTCATCTGTAAATGTTACGTATGAATACCTACAAATATGAAACTGCATATAAAAATGTACTTAAGTGGGTCAAAAAATACTCTAAAGGTGAGCTAATTGCATTTCATATAAATTAAAACATTTACAATACATTTAACACATAACATGGAATTAAGAGTCTGAAAACATTATAATCAGGTCACACTTAAGTATATTCTTTAAGATCAGTTCACACTTAAGTATACTATTTCCATAATACGGAGAAAAAAAATGCTAAAAAGTACTTCTTTTTTTTTCTTTTTTTAATTAGGGTAGATTGTGTCCTAATATAATCTGATATATCTGAAGCAGGTTCAGCGTCACATAGATTGTTTATGAGTTATGATTTTCACCAGAGTCACCTCACAAAGCAAAAAAAACTGTCAAATGGACCCAACAAGCGCATGTGTTACTGAGGTACCTGAGAAGGGAGAGGATGAGAAAAAAAAAGACTCATGCATCGCTAACATCATGACACCACATCCGAATAAATGCGTCAAGGTGCAAGATGCCATGGTGCAGTTATGCACATTAACGTCAGTTTCACAGGGTCAAGTGCTGCCATCAAAAGCCATGCAGTCATGTCCTTTGTTGTGCATGCTTACGTAAGATATCTCTGCTCTTCCTATTCTTATTCCACTCCCTCCATTCTCATCTATTACCAACGTATCCCTAGAGCCTGGAGAGCAACCCTTCCCCCATCCTAAATGAGAGAGAGATTGATAGAGGCACTACAGTGCATCTTGCATTTTCCTCTCCACCTTGAACACCAGCAGCAGCAGCAGCAGCAGCACTTGCGGATATAACTTATCATCTGTGCAAACTTCACAACCCTCCTTTTTATGAATCCACACCAATTCTAGAAAATGTGAAAGAAATCCTTACCTTTTTAAATCTGTTTTTCTCCACTCATTCCCTCATATTCTTTGTCTCCATGTCCTCTGTCTGTCTTCATCTAGTGCACATCCTCAGCAAAGGTCTACGGTGGCTCGGTGTGTGTGTATCGGTCTGTATGTGTGTGCTTGTACAAGCCAGCGATGACGTGCAGATGTGTGAAGCTAGCAGAGCACAGTTTCAACCTCAGACATCACTTCCTCTGCTTCACAATGTGTTTCCCTTTACTGTGTTGACACATCCTCTTCTCTGCCTCTGTTACTTGTGTCCTCTGCACAAACTGCACATGCAAACGCAGAATGGGCATGTGCACTGAAAAAAATGGTGTAGAAACAATTTTCAGTTGGAAATTGCTCAAATTCACAATGAATTGCAAAGAAATGGCAAGAAACACATTGAATTAAATAGTATTCCAATAATCTTCAAAAACAATCGTTTTTACAGTCTACAGCAAAATAGGCGATACAGGCAGCTTGTGTCAAAAAAACCCATTGGCCTTACCTCCCAGATTTCATCTCAGCTCCACATTAACGTCCTCGTCTCGTCTCCTCACACCAGCATTTTTGTGATCACTCTGCTCTCTTTTTGCTTCACCCAAATATATCAATACCGAAATGCAATCCACCGTTGACAGCTTGCTGTAAGAAGCTCACATTGTGCTGTTCCTACAGGGGCAGGTTGAACTGCTCTCCGTCTTTTTCTGCCCCTCTAGCATGCCGTCTTTAATACCCATTCACATCAAACTAAAGCCGGCCCCTTCCTCCGCCCCGCATACGTTACTGCTCTCCACCCCCTCCTGTCTTTCTGTCTTTTCTCTCCTTCACCCTTTTGCTTGGATCTCTCTTGCCCTCTGGCTCCTCAGCCTCCTCCTCACTGTAGCTACAGTAATCCTTTTTAAGACTAATATATGGATGATTAGAAAGACTAGATTTGTATGGAGTAGAAACAAAGGTCCCAAAAAGGGGGTTTCGCAGAAATGCCATTTTGGTTTCCTTTGTTTTTTTCTTAGTGTGGAGAACATTTCAATCATCTAAAGAATCTTTGTTCCACTATAAAGAACATTTCATGGAATGGAAAGATTCCATGGATGTTAAAGGGTCTACATGGAACCATCAATTCCATTATATTATATATCCAATTCTCTGCATTTTTGTGCATGCACCATGAGGAACGGGTGTGTGAATGTATGTACGAGACTAATATATGGATGATTAGAAAGACTAGATTTGTATGGAGTAGAAACAAAGGTCCCAAAAAGGGGGTTTCGCAGAAATGCCATTTTGGTTTCCTTTGTTTTTTTCTTAGTGTGGAGAACATTTCAATCATCTAAAGAATCTTTGTTCCACTATAAAGAACATTTCATGGAATGGAAAGATTCCATGGATGTTAAAGGGTCTACATGGAACCATCAATTCCATTATATTATATATCCAATTCTCTGCATTTTTGTGCATGCACCATGAGGAACGGGTGTGTGAATGCATGTACGTGTGTGTGTGTGTGTGTGTGTGTGTGTGTTTATAAGTCTAAACACTCCTGACTCATGTCAGCACATACACGTTCATTCTCTTGAGATGTGCTATAATGACTAGGATTGGGAGCGGCTCTCCTCTAGATTCAGTATTACAGATAGAGGACTCTCCCATGGCTTGGCCATCTGGCAGCAGAATGTGGGGTGACCCTCCCTGATACTAACCCAACACCACGGATGTAGGGGAGGAGTGATTTGAGGGGGTTGGTCGATGTGCTCTACACAAGCGCGCACACACACACACACACACACACACACACACTCACACTCACACACACACACACACACACACAGACACACACACACACACACACACACACACACAGACAGACACACACACACACACACACACACACACACAGACAGACACACACACACACACACACACACACACACAGACAGACACACACACACACACACACACACACACACAGACAGACACACACACACACACACACACACACACACAGACAGACACACACACACACACACACACACACACACAGACAGACACACACACACACACACACACACACACACAGACAGACACACACACACACACACACACACACACACAGACAGACACACACACACACACACACACACACACACAGACAGACACACACACACACACACACACACACACACAGACAGACACACACACACACACACACACACACACACAGACAGACACACACACACACACACACACACACACACAGACAGACACACACACACACACACACACACACTATCCTCGAGGGTACTCTTCATAGGCGTAATGGTTTTATACTGTACAAACTGTATTTTCTATCACCCTACACCAACCCTACCCCTAAACCTACCCCTCACAGGAAACTTTCTGCATTTTTACATTCTCAAAAAAAATAAAACTCATTCTGCATAATTAATAAGCTTGTTTCCCCATGGGGACCTCAATTTAGGTACCCACGGTGACATGAGTCCACATGAGTCTGTGTGTATTCAGGTTTAATTCACCACCGGGATAGAAAAACATGTACACACAAACACACACACACACACACACACACACACAAAGCCTTTTGTCTAATTCCCAAATGAAAGTAAAGTATGAGTTGGTTCTATTGTTGGTTGAAAATATCTATTAGAACATGCATTTCTTATTGAAACCTTGCAGATGAAGCAACCACAACCAGAGCTCTTCTGGAGCTGTGTTGTTTGTGTAAACTAAACTTAAAAATAATTTTGTGTCAATAAAGCTTAACTAAAATTACATATAAATGTGAGATACTAAAAAAACGTAAAAACGAAAATAAATGTTTAAGTTGAAGTTACTAAAATTACTAAAATAAATTATTAAATGATGAATAAGTAATAAATAAAATGACAAAAGCACACAACTAAATTACTTAAAAATGAAAACTGAAAATGATCATTTAAAAAACGAATAGCCTAACTGAAAATATTAATTAATACTATAATACTATTTAAATAACACTTAACTAAAACTATAAAATCCTTCAAAAATCAACTGAAATGTAATAATAATAATTTTATGTAAATGAAGCTCAAAATAAAGCTAAAATATAATTAAACATAAATATTAGATGAAAATGTATTTAAGTTAATTTGCCTAGGCAAGTTGAAGCACTAAAATTATTCAAACTAAACCTGAAATAAAATACATAAAAACTAAATAGAAATATTTAAACATTTTCCAGGCTTTTCCCCTTCAGATCCACTTTAAACAGTATTATAGTCAGAGTGTGATGCTGTAAGTAATTGTGATGTACTCTACCAGAAAATATTCTCAGAAAAAAAAAAAACTGGGTTCAGCCCAGTACCCAGACATTTTTAATGATTATATGGTCATCTAGTGGACATTGTTGGTACTGTTGCAGTTTTACAGATCACAAGTGCACGATTGTAAGATGCTATTGTCTCTGATGCTTCTGAACTGCAGATTTAGTCATTTTTAAGTATTTATAAAAAAGACAGTTCTTTATTTTTCTTCATTTGCTTCTATGACAGATATATCAAATGCATGACACATACCAAATTTAATCAGTTTCTAACACTTATGTAAGCACATTTCCAGTGGGGGAATAATCGTGCTAAATTGCTAATTTAGTACTAGAAAAGCACTTGCCATTATATCAAACACAGCTGTAAGCTATTTTGTCTTTGTATTTGTTTTTGAGTTACCACCGTATGCAACAAACTGGCATATTACAATATTGACTTTCAGATCTTATGTCTTGGAAGAGTACAAACGGTCTCATTAAGGGGTTGAGGAGACATGCAGAGTATAATGGAGGTGCACATGATTCACCAAAGTCACAGAAAACAGCTTGCGAGGTATAGAGAGGTTTCCAGGAAAATGGCAGTCCTTGAATTGCATTGGTGCCCTCAATGGAAAGCAATTTTCCATTACGTTAAAATCTGGATGCTTCTTTTTTAACTACAAAGAGACGTTTCCAGCATCCTTCCCGCCCTTGTAGATGCACACCACACATGTATATGTTCAGGCAGGCGACTTTGGGAAAGCAGGTGAAATTCAGCCTTTGGGATTGAGATTGAGAACAACATCCTCCTACCTGGTGCTGAGGAAAACAAACCTGAGGGAAGCTGTGCATCTAAGATGCGGTATTCCCACTCAAACCATATACAGTATCTCACGAGGTCTTTTGCTGTCAAGAGCAACATTCAACCGTATCTCAAGGGGCTGCACGATGGTGGAAAACTACAAAATAAATAGCCTAAATAAACTATTTTTGACTCTTATAGCATACAAAACCCTCCTGTCTACAAGTCGAAAGATTGCAATGGAAATATTATTGATGAATGTTTTCATTTTATCAGAGCCAATGTCATTAAGACATCAAAAATGTATATGATAATAATAATAATGTCTATTTGAAGTCTGCATTTACATCTGCAAGACATGTTTTAAAGTGTTTGCTCATCTGCAATACATCTATAGGACGGTTCCTATATCAGATGTCAAATAGATGTCTTTAAGATGTTTAGGATTTAGAATGCATGTAAAACTGACATCTTAGAGACGTCTATCAGATGTTTGTACACGGCAGATGCTTTCCAGATGAAGCGATCTTTAACAGACGGAACTGTGCTATCTGGGTCACCATTCACTGACTTTCATGTTTTTGTGAAAGCTGATGAATTTACGTGTAAATCTGACAGAGTCCACCTTACAGCGTACCCTGCTAAAAAAGCAGCTAAACCCAGCCTAAGCTGGTTATCTGCTCTTCAACCTGGTCATAGCTGGTCAGCAGGCTGGTTTTAGAGGGGTTTTGGCCACTTCTTTAGCTGGTCAGGCGGGGAGACCAGCTAAAACCAGCTACTTCCATCTTAAGCCAGCTAAGACCAGCCAACCAGCTTAGGCTGGTTTTAGCTAGTTATTATTATAATTTTTTTATCAGCAGGGTAAACAAACATGGCAGAATCTACATTCTATAATTTACCGATTAACTAACATTATCATTAAGTTTTTAAGACAAATATTACATTTACCAGTGATTATTTATTTGCATAAATACAAGGAACAAAATGTCACGTTTTCAAATACATTAAGGTAAAACAGATAAATCAGGATATTTTGAGGACATCAGTCAAATTTAATCAATTTCTAATACTAGGGGGCGCTACAACTTAAGAAAATCGTAATAGTGCAACTATATGGCCTAATTCTGATTACAATAGAAATGCAATAGAATTTATATATTTTTGCGATCCCCAAACAGCAGTCTACACTGAATTGAATAAGTCATGCTCAATTAATTTAGTCACTCATGTAGATCTTTTAATATCAATATTTATTGTCACTGAGAGATTCCTACACACATGCACATTAAAAAAAGTTAGTTGCATGAGAAAAATAACATTCAATCATAACCAAGAAAAGAAGTCATCTTTTGTATTACAGTGTGCAACACCACAGATTTACATTCTCACTCTAAACACATCTTCATTTCTCTTTTAATTAATGCCAAAACACTGTACATATAAAAACAAAACATTCAACAAAACGGCATAGGATATATGCAAAGAACATATCAGTTAATATGCATGCGATACATGTGTTACATGCCTCACTAACATAAGAGTCAGATTTCCCAGACTAATATCGACAGCTTCTCAGATCATCGGAAGAATTT